TGCCATGTGGCTAGCAAATTTCACTGGGCTTTCAAAACTTTGTGGCTTAGGGCGGACTGCTTTCTGCACCCATGAGTTCCTCAGTTCCAGTTCCTGAGCCCCCCAAATGGGATGGATGGGATTTCGAAGCCGAATAACTTGGCAAGTCGAGGATGAGAGTGCGTTGCGGTGGCCCAAGTTTTGCCGAAAATGAGGGGCCGGAAAAGTTCGAGAGTGGCAACAATAATCACAGAAATGGGTAATCACAGTGGAATCGATTAAGAGCTTTTCGTTAGGGATTTCATTGGCTCATGAGGAGATTTCCGAAAAGTGCAGCCAGGCGGTTCGGAAATCGAAATATTCCAAAAAGAGGGGAAAATTTAACAAACCAGAATTTAAGGGGTCTAATCAAGTTTATGAACCTATTGAACCTACAAAAATTGTTATTATTTTACATGGGAACCTTCTTAATTTCCCTCTTAACTGCCAATCGATGAAACCATAAAAACTGGGGAGTAAATGTTTCCACACAAGGTAACTCGGTCTTTGGGGGGCAATCAAAATTACAGGCACGTACAGTATCAAAGTAATTGGATAACAAAATTCGTTACTTCAACTTTTGGGCTACCTGGGAACTCGGTGGTTAGTGGATTTTTCAGACTCACCTGAGGGCCTGGCCCAGACCCACATTGACCACCGAGCGATTGACTCCAACTGGACGCAGTAGCTCTCCGATGATGCCCGTCTGGGGCTCCCGGGCGTATGCATAACCCGGCTTGTCCAGCAGCTTGCCCAGCATATTGTAGTCCTGATCGTAAAGGGATCGGCAGACAAAGACCTCGGCATTGCCACCCACAGCCAGGGAAAATACCCCATAGATGGTAAGACCAATGCTGGCCAGGCAGATGAGCATGACGGCGATGAAGAAGACCACTCCCGACTTCGCATTCGATTCGCAGAGGAAGCAGCAGTAGGACATCAGCATGAAGAGCATCACCCAGACGATCACCGTGCCCGCAATCCAACCCACACTCCAGTAGGCATCCGCCCACTCCTTCAGCTCGTTGTAGGCGGGCTCCAGGGACGACCAGGTGCCCTCCAGGCGCTGCAGCAGTCCGTTTATCGTCGAGGTCAGCTGCTGGGCATTGGCAGTCGTCCGGTGGCGAATGCTCGCCAGCTGCTCCAACGTATCTGCAGATACCGATAAGTTAGGGCCAATTCAATTAGCATCCACAAACCAGAACCCAATGACACTAATTAATATTGGGGGCTAAACTTGAGAAAGTTCTGTGGTTGCACAGGGCAAAATAAGTGTTAAGGTATTTACAATGTGCAATAATTTACAAGTGAAATAATATAAATATATTGTTATGAGTATAAAAGATATCGAAAAGGATTTAAAATCTCCTTTAAAGGTGTTTAAAAGTATGCTTTGAATATTTGCAAAACATACTGTTGCATACTTTTAGCCATTTTTACCTCTAAAAGAAATTCTAAATTCTGATTGGAAATAAAATGATGATTATATTCGGTCCATTCATTACATGATATAAATTTTTCCCCCAGTGTTTTCAACTGTATGTTTCGGAAATTGCATTGCCAGATTCATAGGGTTTTGAAAAGGGGGGCGATTGGGAAACCTGACACCTGTGCTATTGATTGAATTGTACACTTTAGCCTTAGTTGGCATAATTGGGTTTTGGGTTTTGGCCAGGGCGCTCAATATGGATTTTGATGTAGGACTGGCGATTAACTTGGCCCGGTTGAAAGCCAAACCTAAATCTCTGGGCCCCGCACATCCTTTTATTTTGATTGCCGTACTCACAGTTCCGTTCATATGCCGTGTCATGTTTAACTTGTTGCGGGAAATTGCTGAAAATGGAACGTGACACGCCAACTTCCGATGTCAGATTTTTGACAGTGGCACCGAATTCAATTTCGCCCAAGTAGCGCATACGGAAGATGCTCTGGTCCTCTTGCAGCTGACAAATTGTCAGCGATGTCGTCGTGCCGTTCCGTTGTCGTTCCGTTGTCCAGGAAATAAGATATTGCGGGTGAAATTAGAAAAACAGTGAGGTCCGAAAGGGAGAAAGGGGGAGGAAAGGGGCAGAAAGCGAAGGAAGTCAGAGTACAAATTATTTATACGTTCAACTAGAAACGAAGGTTAACTGAGAAGGAATCGAAACGGGGGATACCCTAGACTTTTCTAAAAGTAATTAAAATGATTTCAAAGTAGAATAGTAAAAAATCAATGTAAGCACATTGAAAATGTAATATTTAAATAAAATAAAAACATTTAAATTGTACAACATATATGTATATATATTATATATTTTTTTTAAATATTTAAGTTTACTAAATAAAATCTCATTTAAATGGGAGATTCCAAAGAAATCACAAAAGATTTAATGTCACTTATAAAGCTGCCCAAAAGTATGCTGTAAAAAAAGTAAGAAAGTCTTTTGAGATAAATCCATGTCACTTCATTATTAAAAGTGTTCTGTATTTAGTTTAAAACGTTTTTAGGAAGATTAAAAAATTCAACTAATATTCTGGAACTAAGAGTTATCTTCTTGATGCTAACTAGTAAACCCCGTTACAGGGTATCCTCGTAAAAAGGGATATAATCGAGCGGCGAGGCTGGGCTGGAGAAAAAGGACTCACAGTTTTCAGGGCGTCGACCACGCCGTTCTCCTCGAAGCTGCGTATACGCAACGTGTCGCACAGCGGGCGGTCGCGGTACGTGCACTGGCGCTGCAGCACGGACAGCTGGATCTGCAGCTCCTCCATCCTGGCAGCCGCCTCCTGGGAGAGCTTCAGGGCCCGGCCCACCGTCTCCTGCAGCATGAGCACGCGATAGATGAGCTCCGCGTTCGCTGACAGCGACAAATGCACGAAAATATTATTATTTGCAGCGTTATTGTAGCGTGTTTTATTTGGGGGGTGGCTTGCTTTGGTTGGGTTCTGGGTTTTTGGGGATTCAAGGAGTCGCAGCAGCATGATTCCAAATTACACATTGTGTTCGATGGCGAACATAATGGAGTTGTCATCTTGGCAATTGTGTAGGATGACTTTCGCCGCATCCGGCTGCCTCTCCGTTTGCATTCCCCTAATGAAATTGGGCGCAAACAATCGCTTTTTGGTTGAGAGCCGCAGCCAACATATTTACCGATGGCCTGCTATTTGCGACTGCCTTGGGTTCTGATTTTTCAGATTGTTTGGTCTTGGAGTGGGGATAGAGATTTGAGTGGGAAAGAGCAATTTAAGTGGGTTTCTTGGAATAATAGATAATGAGAATTGCCTAGGAATCTAGAAAAGCCTAGGATGTTTATTAAAATATTCGTTATCTATTATAGATATTGAAATATCAAATATATTAAATTGTGTTTGCTTAAAAAAAAAGAACCTTTTGCTTAATGATAACCAAGTACTTAGTACCATTAACCAATTCTAACTCAAGGTTGTCCGCTCAAGAGAGCGTACTTTAAATAATGTTTATGTAAAGATTATTGTCATAATTAAGACTTAATTGGGTCCTACTGTTTGGAAATAACAATAACTAATTTGAAACAAAGGTTGACCGCTCAAAAGAGCGTCCGTTCGTAACTACAGACTAATGTCTCTCTAAAACAGAAAATGCAATCAATGGAAATAGGGATGCGAGTGAAATTAAGAGAGGAAAAGTGTAAAATTTAAAGCCCCACCCAAAGGTCACACCCTTTTGGGGCTCGTAATTTATTGGGGCTGGTTTATTGTCATGTTTGGCCAATAGCGGGTGTTGGAGGGATAGGCCTACTGGCCATGCAGTCCATGCTGGGCGCTAACAATGGAAGTGGAATTTGGGTCAAGTCCGTAACCAGACAATCGCATGGCCAAACCAGTACATCGCATGGGGAGCACTTAACCATCCGTACTTTCGTACTCACCCAGGCTAAGTGTCGTCAGTGAATCATACGCCAGCTCAAGGCCAGTGTGTGCGGATATTTCCGCTTGAATCGGCTCGCCAAGGAGAACATCCACGTCTGCAAGGGATATAGATATAGAATCACATATATTTAGATTCGCAGTGCGGAGAAAGTTGCAGCATAATGCACGGATCGAAGGCTATAAAATGGGCGGGAGTTCGAAGTCGAGTGCCTGGCGACACAAAGTTGGCACAAACTTTTCGCTACTGACCTTCCAGGTCTTTGACGACCCGCTCCACGGAAACGTGGAAGCCATTATCCAGTTTGTGTTTGATTTGTATATGCGTGTCCTTCAGGAAGACCTCCACGTCGTGCACGGCTGACTTGACCATCTCGGGCGTCATCTCGATGCCGGCGGACAGGCGACTGTTGGCGTAGAATATGCTAAAGTCGCTCAGCCTGTTGGAAAGGGGTACTCGTTACTTTTTTATCTAACCCACCCAAAAAGTTAGGAACTCACGTCAGCAGGATGAAAACAATCCACAGGGTGATTAATCCGGCGCTCTTGCGACATCGCAAACTCTCCTCCAGCGATTCATCGCGGATGTTACAGGGTGCATTCCGTATGTGGTCCACCTCCTCCTGGGTGGAGCGGCGACCACAGCACCAGGCACAGGTGGCGATCAGGGGAACCAGGGCCAGGATGGCGAACACGCTCATCAGGGCTATGAAGCCAGACTCGATTTTAATGGCCTAAATGGGGGAATGGGACTATTATCATAGCATTGCATCTACCCTAGAACCACTCACATTGGAGGCAAAGTCCAGCAGGCTGGTGTTTTTGTGTAATACATCGCGTATGGAATCTGAAATATTAAATAAATAGGGGTAGTTTTCGTTTCAGGGAAATGATTTAACGTTGAGTGCGATATTATTCGATAACTAAAATTTCGATATATCTAACCTATGGATATAACATTGAGCCCAATACTTTTTCGATTTCATATCAGATTTTTTCTTTCGATATACACTCCTAATATGATTCCAATTGACTTTTGCTACATAAATCTACATAAAACTATGATTAAAAGATAGAAAGCTGCTTAAAAGATATGACCCTCTTTTAATAATAATGTCTCAACTGCCTTTTATTTCACAACCTGCTCGGAAGCATCACTGGACAAGGGATCCGCCTGCTCCTCGTTCAAATGCTGGATGACCACCACGTTGCAGAGATTCGCCTGGACCAGAGTTCGGGTGTCCGTTTCGAGGAGTTCCTGTCGCGGAAACGCGGTCATGAGCACGAAGTTTCGACTGGAGAACTCCGGTCTGGCCAGTCGGGCATACCGATAGAGATCCCCCACGTTGTGGGTGAGATTGAAGCGTCCTGCCACCCGACTTCCATCTGCCATCCTCAACTGAACCGTCGTAATGGCGGCCCCCTCGTTGAGTTGCAGCGACTGGGGCTCCACGGGCAGGGGCACCAGACCCACGACAATCCGCGATGGAGGACTGTTCAGTGGTCTGCCGGGTCCCATAAATTGTTTCCGCGACAAGTGACGATAGGGTTCGTTGGTGTGATCCTGCACACTCAACTGAACCCTGGGAACTCGGAGCATTTCCTCCGGGAACTCGCCACTCAAGACAGCGCGCAGGAATCTTTCGTTCTCCGGCAGAGCATATGGCCTCAGGGAGCCATCGTCCAGGGAGAAGCCCTCCGACCAGAGATGCAGCACCACAATGGTGTGCTCATCGTCGGTGGGTTCAGTGTCGGAATCTTCCTCGGCTGCCGAGCGAGGAGGCGGATTGATGGGATGGGCACTGCCCAGGCGAACGCCATGGCCCCAGACCCTCAGACTCCGATCGCTATCGTTATTCGTGATGGCCGGCGTGGAGTTATTGATGTTTACCCGCTTGCCCACCGGAGGAACCTCGTGATCGGAGGAGCTGTCCGAGGCTCCCGCCTGATAGCCATCCTGCTCCGGGCTCTCCCTCTTCCGGGAGTGCTGACTCAGCAGGGATTGGAGATCGGGATGGCTTCCCTCTGGCTCTGGCTGCTCCTCTTTCTTAGCCGCCGCATCCGATTCGTAGGAGCTACTGGCTATGTCCAGAGACCAGTTGTTGGAACTCAGATAGCGACGCGCCACCTCCTCACGCACCCCATGTCGCTCCATGAAAGTTCTCAGCTTCTGCTCATCGGTCATCTGGGCAGGCACTACCAATTTTGGGGGATGGATTGAATTTACAAACACATATTGTTCGAATGGGGGTGGGATCACTGTAGCCTGGCCGACTGGGCCTGAAAATCCTTGTGTGGCAGCCACAACCTCTCACCGAACATGCATTTTTAATGGGAAAAGGGTCAGGTACGAGAGAGGTCCTTTACTTGGGGATTAGTGCCATGGAAACTATTTAAGCCCTGATTGTTTTAAACGTATAACAAAGTACTCGTGCACTGGGGGAAATTAGTTGGAATTTTATTATAAGTTAGAAGGTGTTTAAAAATTAACATGAACTATATTATAATTACTTTGAAATAATGTTAAATCTTATTCATTTAACGAAATTCAGAGACTATATGTAACATAAATCAACAAGCTAAAAATATAACCTTGCATACTTTTAGACACCTTTATAAGTGATTTTGAAACCATAGTGATTTCTAGGCCCTCCTAAATCTATGATTTTTTCTCTTTGTGCACAATTTAACCCAACTCTTGCATCTGTGCTGAATAACTTGCCTACCTATCAAAGCTGTCCTGAATTTACATCTCTAATGCCTTCATTGTTGGCAAGCAGACACCCCAACCAACCGGAAGCCCCTGCCACGATATCCTTCGGAAGCATATATGGTAGTTACACCCCCTCATGGACACAAGGACACGCCCACGCCCATGACATGGGTGCGGGGGGCGGATGAAGACTTACCCAGCGGCAATTCCTCGGGCGTGATAAGCGATAAAAATTCACTAACGTAGGTGAATATAAATGGTCCTGGCGCAATGTCCATGCCTGGTATGCTGTAGGTAAAAAATGTGACCGCCGTTGTTGCTGCTGCTGCTGCCGGCGTTGTTGTTGTTGTGGCTAATGCTATTGTGGATCCTGCGAGGGCAGACGTCGTTGGTCCTCCGCCAAAGGATCCGAAGCCCGCCGCCATCGCTGCGGATGACGAGGACATAATTGTTGTTGCGGCTGGCGTTGGCAGTGTTAGATTACGCTGGTCCATCTTCGGTCGGTTCCTGGTCCTCCCTCCGTTCTGCGAATGAATTAATGCGGAACAGGCATGACCATGAATAGCAGAGGAAACCCGGGAGTGAGCCCCCCTTTTCCAGCCAAACAAAAACCGAAACACTCACATGGGGCCTCTTCCGCACCGAGAATGTTGTAAAATATTTTCGGAATTTTATGTTCCAATTATGCATTCATATGTATGTTCCTACTCCGGCTTGCAGGCTAGGATTTTGGGCTCCCCTCTAGTAACTCACACTGACTATGTGACATTCACCAAATTAATGAATATTGCTGCTTCGTGGGGAATTTTCTTATATATTTTTCACACAAATTAATTTTGTGGGAACTAAATTTGGTTTATTAAATACAGAATGAGCCTTTTTTGTGGTAGCTTAAAGGTGAGTGATAGTTTGGTTAATCATGTAGAGTGCAGTTTATATCATGTCATTTCACATTACGTATACGTAATATTCATATTGTTCTTTATATTTTTACAAAATCATCAAAAATGTAGAAAAAGTCTTTTGAAGTCAGAAATAATTTTTTTCTTATTGCTTTAATATTATTAAAAAATTTAATTTATATAAAAGGAATTTCAAATTGAATATACTATTTTTTTAAATATTTATCCTTGCCAATCTAAGCTAAGCTTTTAATTGTTTCGCCGTATTTTATTAAGCATACGCAACGTATGCTTGAACCGTTTTCCATTCAAGGTTCTGTTCCATTTAATCGGCGTCCCTGAATATTGCCTTGAATTGAATTCTTCACCTCTTAATTCTATTAATTTCATTTTTCGCTTTTGTTGCTATCTTGTGCTGTCTTTGCCCTTTCGAATGTTGTTAACACACAAAATAGAGACAAAAAAGCAGAGAAAAAAGACTCTCTTTTTCACCTAATACAGTACACATAACAATGGGTAATGACTTTCAGAGACTGTGAAATTACTCTTTCTGTGCTTTTTTCTTCTCTTTCCCCACCAGACATCTCTTTTTGCAGGGGGCCTGAGGAAGAAGTACGAACACCCCGGGCCGAAGAAGCCCCCCAAGTGTCCGTTGGCAAACTCAACTCATTTGTTTTCCTTGACAATACCACGTTCGCCGATTGCCGTTTGCCGCCTTTATCGGCCATTCATGTTGGCCAATGGCCATACTAATTGCTCTGCCAGGGGACTTTTGAGAATTAGACCAAACCAATACAGATGGCTGGCCGAACTTAAATAGTCTTGAGCTGGAAAGTGGGTCATTAAAACTCGATACCCGATGCATTGGGTGGGATTTCGCCATGGCTCCCCATGGTTCTATCTCTCTGCACACATTATATAGATATATACATATGCGATTCTGTTGGCCAAGTGGACACGAGTCAAGGCGTTCGAATTTGCTGGCCAAGCTCTTTCGAAGGCAACTCGATACGCAATGTGTGGACTTGTTGTCGGCTATTATCTCCCTATTATTGTAGCCATTGCTCTGCTTGTTGGAAAGATATTAGTGAAAGCCGTCCAATGATAACGGAGACGAAGTATTATGGAGCGAGGTGGCAGAGTTCAATGCATTGGGTCACACCCAGTAAAAGGCTTTCAGAGCGGCTTACAGTGGAGTTATTCACATGTCGTTACAATGGGGAAGATATTAAGGCGGTTAGGTATGTTAGAAATATCTGGAGATTTTAAATCAATAGTTGAAAAGCAATTCCCAATAAATTGATAGAAAATACATTTTATTTTAGTCTGTTAAGCGTCTTTGAATTTGTTGACAATACTTTTGATACCTTAAGGTATGTAAAGAAAAAGAATATTTATTTGTTGCCTATTTTTTGGCGCATAAATATTTTATTTGAATTCTGCGGAGTTTATTTAAGATTTATATTTATTTGTTGCCTATTTTTCGGCGCATAAATAATTGATTTAATTCCTGCCCAGTTTTTTAGACAATCTATGTGTACCCACAACGCAAAGTACAACTTTTCCAAAACGAAGTCAGCAATTTGCATTAACTTTAATGAGTCAGACTTAACGCTCCAGTTTGTGCTAATGCACCGGATCCGATTAATTAACAAATTGCACGCCAAATGAACTTACGCACCTCGTTTGGGTCCCCAATTAATTGATTGATGTCGATTCGAAGCCCTTTCTCGCTAAAACACTTACATACACACACACTTTACACAAGCAAATATCGTGTGATTATGGGTTTGACTTTGCGAACCATGCTTTTAATTGAACGTTATTTAAATTCGATTGCAATTAGTTTGATATGTTGATTCGTTTCGTTTATTTGAACATTCCGTTACCGAAACGGAGCCCGAAATTGAGTTGAAATCGATTCGTAATTGAGCACATTTGAAAACACGGTTTTTTCGCTTTTTGGCTCACGTTTATTGACCGTTTGCGAATTTGCGACAATTTTTCGGTGTTTACATTGCAGGCAATCAACCCGACAATTATCAACCAATTAATTATTCATTTTCACATAATTAGCAATGGGTGTGAGTTCAAAGTGTGTGTCCTGGACTCGATTTACTCCGTGATTCTGCCACAAAGCTCGACCAGCGCCGCTCGACGACTGAACGGTGAAAAGGTTTTAGGCCCAAATAATCAGCAAAGAAAACTTAGAAATTTTTCCCTGTTTTACTATTTGCATTAACGAGCAGCGAGTGAAAATGGACAAGGGGCGTATGGTGAGTATGGACTTGTTGGCTGCGAGTTTTCTTTGCTCAGGCGAAAAGCACGTGCTGCTGAGGCGGGAAAAGCAATTGGGAAAAAAATATCAGCAGAATTATGATGGTATTAATGGTATACCCGCATTTTAACGGATCCGAACAACCAAGATGGAATTTTTCTGAAAACGCGAATTCTTTAGAACATGTTTTTAAGTTAGCCAAAAAGTATGCTATATTTTCAGCAAAAATCTAATATGTGCTATATTATCGTAGATACCAGATGTTGTTACCCTAATTCTCTGCAAGACATCTTGTGAGATTTAACAGCATAGCCTCGCTAAGAGCTCTTTAGTTTTCGTGGAAACGCCAAATATATCTCATAAGTACTAACGACCAATTTCGCAGTTTTTGTTTGTGTTGGCGGCACAGGCGCCTTGAGCTTTGCATTAAGTAGACTTTACTTTAAAGTTGCATCAACGCCAAGCCAGACAAAGTTTTGCCATCGCTGAAAGCCGAGAGCGGAGCAGGCTAAACTTAAGCACCACTATGGCGATGGCGATGGTGATGGAGATTCGAGGAGGGGTCGTCATTTTCCCCGCCATTTTCCTCAACATATTGTCACAGCTCGCAGCGGGAGACGCCAATGACAACGACAACGAAAACGACAACGGCTGCATCCGTGCCAGAAGTGCTTTTCATGGCTAAAATTCAATTTGCCTTTGATTTATGCATTTTACGTCAGATTTGCACGCCGGCCCCAAGAGGCTTTCAAACTTAAAGTCTGAACTGATGGAACTCAGTTGGTCGCTCTTAACCGGAAGCATCCGCAAAGGTGCATCCAGTTTGATGGCACCACATTCACTTCCGGTCGTTTTTGGGGACCTCGTCTCTTTGTGTGCATTTGTCGTCCTTTGTGCGTTGTATCAATGTCTGTTGGGTCACAAATGACTCGAGCAGAAATGCAACGGCGGTTGCCGGGGGCCACCAAAAAGTCGGGACCATCAAAGGTGCAATGTGGTTGCAAATTTGCGAGAAACCAACGGACAATCATATGAGCTGGTTGTCTAAAATTCAATGTAGATGTTACTTTAGGTCACATTTGAATACAATTTTAGACAAATCACAAGAGTTTTGAAATCACCACCAAAGGTGTCTGAAAGTATGCTAGAATATATTATGGTGTGCAGACTTTCTTTTAGCCCCTTAAAAACTCCGCGAATTCTTAAGATTATTTTGAACTTTGAAATTCTAGCCATTTTCTAACCAAATTCAAAATTTATTCTCACTCTGCAGGCGATATTTTTACCTAATGTTGATTTTAATTTAAGAAAGCCAGTAGAAAGGGAGTAAGAAAAACACTGCTCAATGAGATCCTAGCGCCACAATCAGTAAGGGACTTTACAGTGACTGTTATCCAATCCTTGTAGTACAGAAAGCTCAGGAACTTCATTGCCTTGCCGCCCGCGCAGCCCAGATGTCCGCCAATGAGTCCCATCAGAGCCCCCTTGCAAATCAGTGGTCCGCCCATGTCGCCGGCACAGGTCAATCCGTCGCCAACGGGCTCCGTGCAGACATTATAATCTGCCGTATACGAATCGTAGTGCTTTTCGCAAAGCGAGGGAGGCCTTAAAATAACGTCCAAATAGAGCAGCTCGTCCGAATAGGGACCGTGCTAAAAATATAGTTATTTTAAAACCTGTAATTGCTTTGGGGCACTGTGTAAACTGTAAGTGTGATGGCAGAGGATGGGTTCTTAGCTCACCTGATATATCTGCCCCCAGCCGAGGGTCACACATGTATCGCCATAGGTAACGTTGGCCGTTTTGCGCATGAGCATCGGCAGAACATTGTGGTTGGAGCTCGGGATTCGTTCGGCGAGTCTGAGAACGGCCAGGTCGTTCTTCTTGTAGCGCTCGTACTCCGGATGGACGACCAGCCGATCGACGGCTCGGGTGTCGGCTTCTTCGTAGTCCGCCAATCGGGTTATATGCCCGAAAACCACACGAATGCCCCGCGGATTCATAGAGGCCTTATAGCGACTATGATATATGGTATGATAACTCGATTAGAGGGTGGATTTCTGGGACTAGTCTTCTAGTACTTACTCCGTTAGGCAGTGGGCTGCTGTGAGGACCGCTCGACTGCTCACAAGGATTCCGCTGCAGAAATGATTATCCCCCCGGTGCCTCACATAGTTGTGGGTGCGAATCGAGACCACGTGACGGGAGAGCCGATTGCTCTTCGGCTTATAGCCACCGGATATCAGCATCTCGAAGGTTTCGTCGCTTATCTCGCCGATCACTCCAAGTTCAGCCTCCGATAGCGATCTACTCAAGATAAGTCCCAAACAAACCACAGTCAGAATTTTCATGGTTCATTTGTTTTCTTTTTTTATGTTGAGAAAAAAACATTTGAAGCATTTGGAAACGGATATAGTGTGCTAATGTGAGACTCTAGGGGATATTACAGTCTTCGATGACTTTTGATACCAATATAACCCATACAATTTGGTAACTACTATGGCATGGTAAATTCTGGTGAATATGCTTGATAGGGTGGTTCCAAAAGTTCTTGTTTTCTTACCTTAATTCTTCCTCATATTGTAATGTACAAGAAACTGGCTTTTATTTTCTAATATGGAGTTTTATTCATTCTAAGATCTAATAATCTCTAAATGTATAAATAATTATAATTACTAAAATAAATTAAAATAAATTGATTTATTTTTCAGCCGAATCAGATGGCACTGATTCGATTGTATCGCACTCTTTTGGCTCTTCTAGCTTACAAAGTCCTGCCTCGATTATTTGAATTTGATGGGGAGGTTGCGATTCAGCCTTAACTTTTCTGTCGCTAGATGGTTTCTTCTGAGGTCGGATGAAGAGATCAAGGCCAGCAAAGGGTGCTTCGATGATCAGGTAGAGTGCGTAGGAAAGCAGCACGGTGATCCCCATATCTGACCAGAAACCAAGCATCTGCGGGGAGGATTTAGAGGTCACAACCGAGCTGTATATCAGAGGATCACACCTTACCATTTGGTAGTCCGAGTAGTACGAGTTCGTCCTGACACTCCTTTTGTTTACCTCCTGGACGAAGACGTGCCAAATGTAGACGGAGTACGAGAGTCGCGACAGAGGCTGCCAGAGGGGAGAGGACAGGAAGCTGTTGGCCAGACCCCCGTAGCCCTGCATGCAGGCGAAGATCACCCAGCAGATGGCCAGTGGCCACCCCAGCCGGGTGAAGGTGTAGTAGGAGGCCTCTTCCAGGGTGGACAGCGCAGGGGTGGACCAATCGGCGGCGGGATACAGAGCGAATATAGAGGTGAACATCATGGCCAGGCAGAGGGTCCATCCAGACCACACGGCCACCCAGTTCAGTCGAAACTTCCTGCCCTGATTGATGTACAGAAAGTAGCCGAACATAAATCCAATGAGCCAAGGAGTACAGTGGTAATGTGTAGAGGTGTATAGTTTTTGGGCCTCTGCATCTGTGCTCCTATGGGTTAAAAAGGTTTATTAAATCTAGAAATCTCAAACATGCTAAAAACTTACTTTATCACCATGGAGTAGTGGTTGACCATCATGGACCCAAAGAGTAAACCAGCTAATAGGGCTATGACAACGATTATGCCAGCAGCTGCCTTCTTGCCCCATATATAGAGGCAGATCAGAAGAATTGGAGAGATGATGAACATCTGCATGTCCACCGAAAGATACCAGGTATGACCAAGGCACTGAAATAGCCAGATAATAACTAAAAGGTCTTCGAGTTGTCACCTTAAACTTACCCTTTCATCAAAGTAGTTATTTACGAACAGCAACGTGCGATACCATCCATTCTCACACACTGTTTTGCCACTGAATCCACCCTTGAAAAGTGGACCATCTGCCACGAGACCCATGAGATTCATATAGATCAGAATCGCCATGGCCACAATGGGAACTAAACGGATCAGGCGATGAAGATACATCAGGGGCACATTAAGTTTACCCTTGGTTCTGTTAGGGTAATTTATGATTAAAAGAATACCTATGGATAATATTTAAAGCCTCACCTATCCATTGATCGTAGAGTAATCAAAGCCACTAGTAAGCCACCGATAACGAAAAACGAATCCACCGAGAAAAAGCCGTGCACATAAAACATCGTGTATGGATACTCTAGCCACTAAAAAAATATTATGTACTGAGTTAACGAATGACGCTGGGTCTTTACATACCCGAGGGACGTAGAAAAAGTTCAGATATGCCGATGCCAGTGAATATCCATACCCGTGGCAGTAAACCACCCAAAAGAGAGACATGCAGCGAATCCCATGAAGGCAGTCGATGACATTCGGGTTGGAATTGGTCTCCACGAGGCGGAAAAGAGCTCGCGAGTTGACCCTGGCTGAAAAGACCTTGACAAACGTAGGAAGTTGACCTGGAAAATGAGGGTTATTAGGGAATTCAATAATCCATACTAAACTGACTAACTCACTTTGATTCTTGCACACGAAATAATCGTAGAGCGTGCAGACCGCCACGATAGAGCCCATCAGCGATAAGAACACTCTGAAATCGGAAGGGTTAGTCAACTTTGATGGGTACAATTACTAGGGCACTCACATGGTAAATATAGTTAGTCCATCCCAGGGCTCGCTTTCACTTGTCTGGCAGCTGCTATCGCTGATACTCATCACTGTGCTGGGGACACTCACGTTGAGTAGGCGCTGACTCATCTGACTCACGAACTTGTTCATGTGAGTGGCCGAACAGGAGGCGGGAAAGCAGGTTGCCGTTCTGAGCTTCCAAAATGCTGCTGCTGCACTGTCTAGTCCTATCATTTTACTGGGGGTAGTCTCCAGAAAGCAGTACTTTCCACGGATGGTGTCCTTTTCGATGTTGAGACACTCGTCGAAGTTTCCCAAGCTGTATTGGTTGCCAGTTAGGATTCCAGAGGGAATGAATCCCCACGCATCGATCACTAAAGGACAGAGATCCTTAACAATAACCAATCAATTGTATTTAATTTTTTTACTCACTTTTCAAGGACCAATATTGGCCGGAACTAAGGCCTAAGGAAAACTCAGTCAAATGCTTGAGGCACAAGAGATCCTGCTGAGTTGGCAATCTGGGATCCAGAAGTCCCAAGTCATTAAGGGTTACATTTTTAAAGTACTCTGCAAACTCAGTTCCCAAAGGCTTGAGATTTCTGAGACTTTGGAATCCCGGCAGGACATCTCCTTCCTTTGGCTGCGAGGCTCCTATTAGGACGAGCCCACTAAGAAAAATAAATCCGACTAAGCTAAGCATTCTCTAAATCGTAATGACTGCTTTTTTCAACCGATAGAAGACTTTATAGGCGAATTATCAAGCTACAAGCCACTTTTGAGATAGTAAAATAAGGCCTTGTCATACAACCCAGAGACATGTAAAAGCTTCAAACAATATTGAATTCCCCCGAAGAAGCCCGATAGTGTTCAGTAATCTCAGGAATTCAAAGTCTACTAACGACCAATTTGATGATTAAGAGTCATAATCAAAGTGAGTTCGGGGAGTTCTTTAGAAAACGTATTTAAATGTGCGATAAGATGGGGATAATCAAGAGTTATTGATTGGCTGGCAGACTATTTGGGGGCATTCGGCTGAAGGTTCTTATCAGGGATCTGTACTCGGAAGTTACTGATATTGAATTGTGCTTTAAGTGCTTACTTAAGAAAACAATTTATTTAACAAATGATATTTGATATGGTTGTGTACTTAAAATAGAATAGTCAATAAAAGTATAATAAAACTTCTTGTTGTCTATTTAGATAATAGATAATACCGTTTTAATTCAAGTAGGTTGTACGTTTATGGAAATACAACTAATCCCCGATTAGATAAAGAAACCAGAAGCCTTGTATTGTTTGTTATAAACATTTTAATTTCTTTAAAAATTACTGATAGTGTACACTGTACACGTTCAAGTTATCGGTATCAAATCTTTATAATTCATTAATACACCAACAAATTTTGACAAGAAGCTGCTGAAGAACTTAGTGAGCCTTTTTTTCAAAATGATTGTTTTCTGTCTCAGAAATACTTTGAATTTGTACAACGAAGACTAACTTTACCAACGCCACGGCCCGAATTCAACTGATTCAATTTGCAACGAGTATGTGACAAATGCAGGTACACAAGATGATATCATCCAGCACGCTGTAAAATGGTAAGTAATTTTCATACACTTTGTAAAAATGCACAAAATTACCAACAGCTACAGGCATCCATCCACCATCCGCCTCATCTTTAGACGAAGAGGACCTTTTCCCTCGGCCACCTCTGCTACCTCCTTTGCTCCTTCCCTTGCCACCACCTCCGCTACCTCCGTTACCTCCTCCTCCACCTGATTGAAAGATTTGAATATATGCGGGGAAATCGTACCAATCTAAGACTTGAACTTGCGACATGTTTAAATATAAATATATTAGGATAAGTAACCCTAACACAGCACCAATTATACTAATCGGCACTACGTATTTCCATTTCTAATATATAAAAATAATTAGTAATTTTTACACATTATAGTTTTAAGTACTTACGCGTGCGGTATAGATCATAATTAAAAATATAATATGATATGTCGGCCACAAACTTATCATGCCGTATGACACAAAATGCTTGTAAAACTCTTGCTTTCCTATTAAAAAAAAATTGCTTTTAATTTGTATGTTACTATGATAAACGTAGGACTTTCGCAAAATTATTTGGGGAGAACATAAATTTAATCAAAAGCCAAAAAGAGTATATTGTTAAAAAAAAAAACTAAAGCATATTTAATATGCAGTTTGGCGGTGGGGGCTTGAGATTATTATTAGACGAATACCTGGAGGAGCAACTAAAAAAAAAATTGACAAAAATCCTACACCAACTAGAACAGATGTTCCTAAAATTAAAACTATAATTTTACGGACAGAAAGTTTGCACATTTTGATAATTTTGAATAATTTTTTTAGGATTAATTTTGATATATTTGAAATATAAAAGGCTTGAGTGACATTTGAAGCAGTGGTTTAAAATTGATTTCGCCCGCATGTTTGATATCAATAGCTCAACCGCTTAACTTATCAGCAGAGCTTGCAAGGTTCGGTCAACCTTTTCAAAGTGTTAGGAAAAAACCTGTCACAAAAAACCCTATGACAACTGGGTGTGAGCTAACCCCTTAAAAGGGTTTTTGCTTAACAGATGTTACGCTCAGAGCAAAACCCTTTTTTTCAGAGTTATTTCGGTTTCGGTTTCTACTGACTACTTTGCTCGGTCTGTTAAGGAAAACGGTCTTTTGTGAATGTATGAGTGTGTATGTGTGACCTGTTCAGTAATGCTTCAGACGTAACATTGCTTTTTGATTATTAAAATTCAAAAGGGTAAGGGAAAATACGTAATGTGTATTTTCTAAAGCTTAATCTGTAAGATTAGCCCATTTACCATTAAATTCCAATATTCTACATATTTTAAATAATTTACGATTCCAAAACTCCACTTTTGGCATATCTTTCTTATGTAGTAATTAATAACCAAATCCACGTAATAAGAAGCGAATCTTTTAAGCTGCAAGAAAAATTAGAGCTTTTTAACAGGTTAAACCTCCTTTAGCAGTTTCAAATTTTGTTTATGTAGCTTTAAATCAATTCCTAACTATTTAAGAATATCTTCACAACATTATTCAGTTTTATTCAAAATATTTCGAAAGATTTGAAGGAACGTGCGATCCATTTTGTAGGAATAGGCTTAGTTGGAATACTTTGAGCCATTTTTTATCTTAAGACTTATGGTAGTTCTCATTTATTCATTTCGGTATAGCTCATTTGAAAGGTAATTCGTTTCTTTATGGCATTTCTTATTAAAGATAGTTCCTTATATAGTCAATTAATATATTGAAGCAAACAGAATTCAGAATACAATTTTATATACATTTATATGTACAATGCAATTTTAGAATTATCTTGATTTCCTATGTAAAATTTATGCACATATCACAGCAGGCCTATACTTTTTCCTTTCTAGAGAAAACCCATTTTTTTGACTTTTATTTAACAGTAGTCTTTCAGAAACCCTTTTAGGTGACTGTTAACTTAAAAGGGTCTCACCGAGTGGTTATTGCAAGACCGATTGCTTTGTTCGGTTGAGCCGAACGGTCGGACCGAAACCGACAAGCAAAACTAAAAAAGGGTTCCGCTCAGAGAGAGAGTTTGTGAGCAACATTTTTTTCGGTTTTGTCGAGATTAAACTGCCTCAGGAAAATCGGTTGACAGTTATTTGCAAGCTCTGCTTATCAGGCATTTTTATTGAAATTAAATTGTTTATAATTAACTTTCTGATTACATTATCTACTTGTCGATTAGTTTTAGTTCCATAAATATACAGCATACTTGAAATCGGCAAGCAAGAAGTTTTATGATACTTTTATTGACTATTCTACTTTAGGTGGTAAATAAATTGTTTTTTTAAGTAAACACTTAAAGCTCAATATAATATCAGTAACTTCCGAGTATAGATCCCTGATAAGAGCGTTCTGCCGAGTGCGCCCAGATGGTCTGCCAGTCTTCATAATCCCCAGTCTTATCGCACATTTGAATATGTTTTCACAAGAACAACCCGAAATCACTTTGATAATGACTCTTCACTATAGAACAGGTCGTCGGTATTCTTGTAATTCTATCAGAGTCCTTCGGCAGAATTCACTGTTGTGCGACCTAGAAGCTTAATATGTTGATTTGTTATTTGTTTTATCGCTATTAAAGATTGTAGCTTGATAATTCGCCTATAAAGTCTTCCATCAGCTGACAGAAGCAGTCATTACGATTTAAAAAATGGGTAACTTAGTCGGATTTATTTTTCTTAGTGGGCTCGTCCTAATAAGAGCCTCGCAGCCAAAGGAAGGAGATGTCCTGCCTGTCAGAAATCTTAAGCCTTTGGGAACTGAGTTTGCAGAGTACTTTAAAAATGTAACCCTTAATGACTTGGGACTTCTGGACCCCAGATTGCCCACTCAGCAGGATCTCTTGTGTCTCAAGCATTTGACTGAGCTTACTTTGGGCCTTAGTTCTGGGGAATATTGGGCCTTGAAAAGTGAGTAAAAAAATTAAGTCAAATTGATTGGTATTTGTAAATGATCTCTATCCTTCAGTGATCGACGCGTGGGGATTCATTCCCTCTGGCATTCTAACTGGCAACCAATACAGCTTGGGAAACTTCGACGAGTGTCTCAACATCGAAAAGGACAGCATCCGTGGAAAGTACTGCTTTCTGGAGACTACCCCCAGTAAAATGATAGGACTAGACAGTGCAGCAGCAGCATTTTGGAAGCTCAGAACGGCAACCTGCTTTCCCGCCTCCTGTTCGGCCACTCACATGAACAAGTTCCTGAGTCAGATGAGTCAGCGCCTACTCAACGTGAGTGTCCCCAGCACAGTGATGAGTATCAGCGATAGCAGCTGCCAGACAAGTGAAAGCGAGCCCTGGGATGGACTAACCATATTTACCATGTAAGTGCCCTAGTAATTGTACCCATCAAAGTTGACTAACCCTTTCGATTACAGAGTGTTCCTATCACTAATGGGCTCTATTGTGGCTCTCTGCACGCTCTACGATTATTTCGTGTGCAAGAATCAAAGTGAGTTAGTCAGTTTAGTATGGATTATTGAATTCCCTAATTTCTCATTTCTCATTTCCCTCATTTTCTAGGTCAACTTCCTACGTTTGTTAAGGTCTTTTCAGCCAGGGTCAACTCGCGAGCTCTTTTCCGCCTCGTGGAGACCAATTCCAACCCGAATGTCATCGACTGCCTTCATGGGATTCGCTGCATGTCCCTCTTTTGGGTGGTTTACTGTCATGGACATGGATATACAATATCATCGGCATATCTGAACTTTTTCCACGTCACTCGGGTGCGTAAATATTTTCAGCTGAAGCTGATTTAAAACTGTATTTCTTTGGTTTTAGTGGGTAGAGTCTCCTTTCGCTAGTTTTTATGTGCACGGCTATTTCACGGTGGATTCGTTTTTCGTTATCGGTGGTTTATTGGTGGCTTTGGTTACGCTGCGCTCCATGGACAAGTAGATCTTAATTTTTTAGCACGGGACAATTAAAAAATGTTCTTTTGATCCCTCTACAGATCCAAGGGTAAACTTAATGTGCCGCTGATGTATCTCCATCGCCTGATCCGAATAGTTCCCCTTCTGGCCATGTCGATTCTGATCTATACGAAACTCATGGGTCTCGTGGCAGATGGTCCCCTTTTCAAGGGCGGATTCAGTGGCAAAACAGTGTGT